GCGGGCGTAGCTCTGACTTTAAGAATCTCCGAAAGCGCCTTTTCGCTGACCGATATTTCATCATTAAAGGCAATTTCACGGTCACCGCGAACATTGATTGCGATACTATCGAAGTGCTCCTGCACATAGTCCGTCATCGACTCGTCCACGAAAGACTCCTCGAGCATACGGTCACAGTAGGGGCAACCATTCAATTGAAAAAACAAAAGTACATGCTTTCCAGCTTCGCTGGCTTCTTCGACGTCGTCGGCGATCTCAAGAAAGCTTTCCTTGAACCAGTCCGGTGCCTGATGGGTGATTGGCCTGATGGGTGACCCCACCAATTATTTTCCCCGCTTGCATTGCCTGGTTTCGCAGCCTCGCTGACAGGCAAAATAAGAGTACCAAGCACGTACAAAGACAAAGAACTTTTCAGAAGTAGCCCATATGCTTATATCCATTTTCTTCAGCCGTATTCGATTCGGAGTAAAAAATAGTAAACCAACATCGTACACTTGTAAACCCACCATAACGTTTCACCCTTTCCATTTCGGGTCCATTATAGCTCCGGTGTCAAATGCACACTGGCTTTAACCGCTTCAGTCGATACTTCTAGCTCGTAATCGCCGCTTATCCACGAACGCCAGCATCGATACCATTCGCGTTACGCACGATATCATAAACCAATCGAAAGTCAAGCGTAGTAAGCCGAAACCTCCACTGCTCAGCCAACGCCAACACGCTTTGCCATTGCGGCAAATGAGTTCCCGCCCGAGTAAGATCACATTCCCGGATTGTCCACGGTAAAACAGGCTTACATTTTTTTAACACCATTTTTTTGCGTTGGGCCAATGGCATCTTTTACCTTTGAAGTCGATACCTGTTTGCAACTTAACCGCCCAGCAAGTGCCGGCTTCTATCTGCGTATGATCCGGACCGATAATCCGCATCCCCAGGCACGAAACCTTTTTCCAGGCGCAGGCTTCGATGGCCACGATTGCCTGCGTTTCGAATGCGTTATTCCTGCGCCGGGCTTGGCATTAATGGTCTGTTAAAACTTGTGTCGGCTATTCAACCGGCTAAATGTATTCCCAACCGGATGCTCACAAACTTAAGTCAGGCGCATAGCATTAACCGGGATCCGCATACCAATCGTTTGTCATCTGAAGCGAAAGCAAATGCGGCATTTGAGCATCGTCACGCGTTACAGACTGCACAATAATCTACTGCAATTTGCGCCCATCAATGACAACACCGCATAGCCGAAGTCATGATCAAACAGTATGCGCGTTCATTGCCATAAGGATATGACTGCGATTTTATCCAGATGAAATCATGAGTCGCAAACCCTCGTGTCGGCTAACGATGTAAAATTCATCAAAGGCAATACGCGTAACGTCACAGTCGCATTCGAATACCACCTTATCATTGAGCATTTGTGTGTAAATTCACCGAGCCAATCGGGCTTTGCGACAGTCATTCTGGCCGCTATCCAGTTCAATGCGGCTTCGGCATCAAGGCCTCCTTCAATGAAAAACTTGATGAGCAAATGCACCCCACCCGGGAAGGCAGGAACAAAAGCAAACATCACGACGACTGTGTTGAGGTCGCAAGGACAACGCGCAATTGTCTGCGTGCCGCTTTCTCACTGTCCGCGGACCAACAGGCTGTCGATGACCAGTATCTGCCGGCGCTGAAACTATAAAACCCCCTCAATCATTTAGGCGACTTCGCTATCGTCCCGTATGCGAGTCAGTTCAGAACCCAGTTAGGCGCGGCTTTACCCAGCCTCAGCTCTCTTTCGCCAAAAGGCGCAGCCCTGCGCTTTCAACCACATTCATTACAAAAGGTGACTTTCCGGCAAGGGTCGACTCACTATAGTCGTGTTCCTTCATGTGGCCAGGCCATAGATACGTACGTGCTTGCCATAAGCTTCGAGCGTTCTGTGTACGCACCCAGTACGGGGAAGTATTTCGAAATGCGGTCGGATCGCAAACTCGACGAATATCAAAACCTCGGCCATAGCCATCGAAAAGGTGTTCGCCTCTTGGCTACCCATTCGCCAGCCGCCATGCCGGCACCACCGCGTCGATGAGGCGAATATCAATAGGCATTAAAACCCCCACCCGGCCACCAACAACAAGAAAGATTTGTCAGCTAGCGGCGTGCTTCACGAGAATAAAGTTACCCATCGGGAGTGAAGCTTTTCCGGGCCATTAATGAGTTCCTTAAATACCAGCGGTGTCTCAGGAGTGTACCGCGCGCACTCGGCCACTACAAGAAGGCTCACAGAGTTGTTCAGATAGTTGCATCAACCACGTTCGAATCCCAGTAAAGGGGTAAGACTAAACCCTTTGGAGAATGCCATCGACGGCCAGGGAATCGGTTAGGTTGTAACCGCCCATGACAACCACCGGACATCTTCTTTGTAATAGGTTAAGCGTCGGGTCACGCAAAGTTGGCATGTCCGGGGTGATTCCATCGTGGGCTTCGGTCACCATGTAGTGTCATGCCTCGACAGATACCATGCACATTAACGCCGACAGTTGCCGCCAGATTACGCTGTCATTTGCCCGCACAGCCCAAATGACGACTTCGCCATTACGATTCGTCCCTGGTCTGTGGAATAACGGCTTTGATTTTATCGCAGTTTTCAGCCAGTGTTCAATGAATTACCGGTAGTAGTCTTCAAAACGCCATATACGTAGCGGCCGTTTGCCATACGCGCACCCGTGCCAGGGCCTGGCACGCGGTAAATGTCAGAAGGATTAGCTTGAGCGGCATCGGGTAGCAAAAATGCCGCTCCCGACCACATATCGACTATTCATAGCGCCACACCAGTTCCTTCAGCCTCACGCCCCGTGTTAACAATTGCATGTCAGCCCAAACGGCGTGCTGTAGTGGCTCTTGCTCGTTGACTTCGCGTGCCAGCGCGCCTGATTGCAGGCCAAGCCGGCAATCACGCCCATCATCTTCCACCCCAGGTGGCTAGGCACCGTTTCACTCTTCAAGCTGTTGTAAAGCATCGAGCGAATTAGCCGAAAGTTATTCAGAAGAGTGATGATTTGGCATTGAGAGCGTACGCGTCCTGCCCAGCCAAACCGCGCGAGCATCAATATGTTGGAACCCGAAGTGAGGTCTTCTTGCGTTCAACAAAACCGTTCAAGTCCAGCCCAGTCTTTGCCAGATGATTTTAAGCCGTTCGAACAACCGCCACTCAATGCCGCCGGCCGGGATCATGACGGCTTTATGCCTATTGGTTGAAAATCGAGTCATGGTGGCAGCCGCGCCCATCTAGTATTATTTTAAGAGATAATATGCGCTATCTATGCGTTTATTGCCCATCGCTCTCTTAGGTATTATGATTGTAAACGATGAACGAATATGATTAAATTCGCGGCTAGCCATGACACACCACGCGGGAAGACCACGCGACCTGTGAAATTCCAACGCCGCTATTTTCGCTCGGTTTCGACGTCGACCATAAGCAGGATGAAAGTCCGTGACGATTCGCAGGACCGTGAGACCAGGAGCCAATATGAGATACGCGATTGCTTTACAGTTGGAGCGTCTCTCCAGCATCATGCCATTTTTGCTGTAAGAATTATTAATGGTCGGCGATAATATGATAGCGAGATTTTGAATGATTATCGACCCAATAGACCGGCACGCGGTCTTTTGCTTTCCGTATGCCACTTTACCGGTAGGTGCCCTCGTCTTTACCTTCAAAAACTTTTTGGTGAAGTCCGCAAACATTCCGGTATCGTACGCATGCCCGAAACTCGTACTCGTAAGTCTCTCTGAGTCACTGGTAAACTGCGCCACCAAAGATAGTCCCGTGCTGAAATTTTGGACTTATCCACCTCAACAGCACGAGTTTCATTAGGAAGGCCGAGAGTCCGCTATTGTTTATCATAAAACGAAGCAAAAGATAGAGCGCGCAAAAGCCGCGGTATCTTCCCGTTTAACCTCAATCCGGTTCGGTTACTGCGCCTGATTACGGACTGTTAGCCGCCGCTCTGATAGCCGCAGGTGAGAGTCGACTCTCGGTTATCCGGGACTTGAGCTTAAAAGACCCGTACGACTAGTTTTTCGCTGGAATACCTATCGGTCGAACAAAGGTACAGGCTGCATGGTGTCAATTACGACTGGCAAGGCCAAACATTTAACCAATGAGTCGACAGGCGATGTGGATTAGCGCGGCGACACCAGCACTTCACCAGCAGCAATAGCCCCTGATAAAACGCCTAACCGTTGTCACGAAGGCTGTTCGTGGCATCAGTTCGGACCAGATTGCCGCAGAAGGGCCGGGTACGATAATCAAGGCTAGCATTTATATCAAAGCTTGTTCATGGCCGGTCTTTGCAAGCCCCACGGACGAAAACCGCGATAAACAAAAAACATATTGTGTGATGCCATTTCGCCACACCCGCGACCGTGCTCGCAGATTGCGACAGCGTCGACGAGTACCAGTAGCTAAGTCTCATACGGACAAGCTTTCTAAACATTTCACCGAAACCTTCGAATGACCTTATCGAGTAAAGGCTCAAACCGCTTCGCGGCTATGGTGCCATCACGGACGTAACACCGCGTGCCACGTGGTTAAAACCACCTGGACTATCTCATCAACATCTCAGCGCCGGAGCACGCACCTTCCCCGGAATCGCATGAGCTTGTCATCGCGCGGACGAACTTTTGCGGCCATGATCGGATGCCCATCAGTCGGGTGCAACAGGGACTTACATAGTAATGCGCCCAGTTTACTACCTCCACGCTTACCGCGTCCCCGCGGAATCGGCCATACTTTCCCATTCTACCGGGACCAGATAGTTAAAGGATACACCCATGTATCGACGCGAGTGTTATCGTCCTCATACGCTTGCCTAACATGGGGAGACATAATTTCACTACTATAGTTACTTTTTTACGGCCCTGACCCCTAGCAGCTTTTCCGTGATCTGTTCATCCCATATGTCCCTCTACCAATTGCTTCTTTGAATGTTTTGGCCCATAACGAAAACATGCAGGCGATAAACCACAAAGATATAACCGCGGTAATACTGGCCGGTGGCCAGGGTCGGCGTATGGGTGGTGAAGACAAGGGTTTGATCGAGTTTGATGGCCGACCCATCATCGAAATTCTCATTGAAAAACTGAAACGGCAGAAAGTCGAAATAATCATTAACGCCAATCGCAATCATGATATCTACCAGTCCTATGGCTTGCCCGTGGTGAGTGACGAGCTCGCTGACTTTCAGGGCCCGCTGGCGGGATTCGCCACCGCTATCAATGCGGTGAAGACTGACTATATTCTAACTCTGCCCTGCGACGGGCCTTTCCTTGCAGATAGTTTTGTCGATTTGTTTATCGAAGCGCAGGCTCGTGAACAATCACCCATTAGCGTGGCCTTTGACGGCGAACGGCTTCAGCCTGTTTACGCTTTAATCGACGTTAACCGGCTCGATAGCCTAAACCAGTTCCTGGAAAGTGGTGACCGAAA